GGATTCATGAAGCCTGATATAAATACATATAAAAAGTGCAAGTGGTCTATTTCAGCAGAACTCTATGCAGAGATCAGAAATTCACCAGGAAATAGGGCTTTTTAACTCCCAAATTTTGGTTAGATTTTAATACAATGTGAGCTTTAGGAGAGCAGGAAACTTAACTAGATAGATCTATAATGATATCCTTGGTACTTTGAACCATGCCTGGCACATAGTGGGTTTCCAGGGCACACTTCCTGAATTAATTACAATTTTAATATTTCACCCACCTGAAATATTGTTATGCAGTTTTATTTAAACCGGTTGTCAGCATGGAATGACTTCTGCATTCTCTCCTGGAAGTGGGTGAATTTCCATGGTGAGCAATTCCTCTATATACAGTTTGCAAATCATTTTGGGAACCTTCCAAATGAAAGGCACTGTATAAATATACCCTCCCACCAGCAGCCAGCCGGCTTTCCACCAGGGATGCATTTGCATCGCTTATGTACATAGTGTTTCATTTGGGGCATTGTTTTTATTTTTATGACCATAAAAGAAATATTCACAGTATGAACAATAATGTAAACTGCATTCAAGAAGATATATATTTGTATATTTTTATGATTCAAAACTTAGAAATCTCAAAGAAAAGCAGGCATGGCATTTTTCTTTCCTGTTGCTGTTTGCTTTTTCATAGCATTCTTTATTATTCCTGAACTTTATGGTGGAATTTTGCTGAAATGCTCGTCTTTGTCTGTACCTCATTTGAGAATATGTGGTGGTGGGTTCAAATGAATAGTGCTAGCAAAAGGCCTGAAAATGGAGGGTATTTGATTTTGCATTTATTCAAGGCTATAATAATAGTTTGCTTTAGCGCAGCTTTTTTGTGGATGGAAGCTTCTTTAAGGAGAGAAAGAGAAAAGGAAGCAACCTCAGGTATAAAATACCTTCTAAGTAACTTAGCATGATAATGGAAACTTTCAGAGATGGAAAAGAGTTTGAAGAGAAGTGTTTTAGCCTTCATAACAAAAGGGGGGTGATTTCATAGAGCATTGTGGGGAGCTAGACTTCAAATTCATATCATGGAAAATGTTTAATGAACTTTTGAAATAAACTGCCAACAGAATTAAATCAAAACCTTTGTAAATTATGTATTTATCTACATAGAATCGTCTGCACACAAAAATGAACGGAATTATAAATTCTTAATTTATACATTTCCATAATTAAATTTAAACTGAATGAAATAACCCAATTCAGACATATTTTCTAACCTTAAGGATATTCTAGCCTTAAGGGTTTTATTAAAAAGAGAAGCTACTCTGAATATTCACAGTAATTTTATATAAAAAGTATCTAAAAAGGTAGATTAAATAAAACTCTTGCTCACTTCACTGAGCGATGACGTAAAATGTGAACAATTAAATTTCAACTACCAATAGTTAAAGACAGAATCAATAAGAATTTGAGTTCATTTTGGTGTTCATCATTCTCTTTCATAAATACCAGATTTGATATTTTCTCACGTTTTACTACTAAAGCAATGAAAGTGATTTTTGAAACCTTAGCTATAGAATAGTAATATTAGGAAATAGCTTACTCAGGTTATTTTGTGGTTTATAGAGTTATATTCTCCATCTCCCAAGTCAGAATATTTTTGTAGCTAACCTTTAATTTCATACTCCCAGTAATACCCACCTTGTTTCATTAAAATGAATCTGATGTACAGTATCTTGACATTCTTCTTTACTACTAGAAAATAAAACAGCAGTTTCTTCAACTGAGAAAAGCTAGAAGCATGGACTTGATCTGCAGCCAGTTTTTACTACAAACCCCATAATGCTTTGCATTATAGCCTACAATCCCCATACTGCAATGCCAAACCTACAGTTAACCATCATATTACTGGAAAGAAAAAGAACAGAATATTTGAGAACTATGTGGCATGCAAGGATTCTACTTGAGTGGTAAATTATCAAATTGTTTCCAGTATTTTGTGATTTGCTTGCCTTTTCCTTTAGTAAAAAAGGCATATTTATGGATATGCACTCTATTTCCTCATCTTCAATATAATGTCGCATATTCTCAAATGATATATCAAGGTGTATACTTTCCATGTCAAAGACTCTTTTTTTTAAAATATCCATTATTGAGTTGTGTAGTTTTCTACCGTCCTTTGGAGGGAGGTCAGCTTTATTCAGATTTTAAAATAAAAATCACAATACATTGTTTAATGCTCTAAACATCTGCAAACGAGAACTCAGTGAAGTAATTAAAATTCTTTTTTTTTTTTTTTTTTTTTTGAGACGGAGTTTCGCTCTTGTTACCCAGGCTGGAGTGCAATGGCGCGATCTCGGCTCACCGCAACCTCCGCCTCCTGGGTTCAGGCAATTCTCCTGCCTCAGCCTCCTGAGTAGCTGGGATTACAGGCACGTGCCACCATGCCTAGCTAATTTTTTGTAGTTTTAGTAGAGACGAGGTTTCACCATGTTGACCAGGATGGTCTCGATCTCTTGACCTCGTGATCCACCCGCCTCGGCCTCCCAAAGTGCTGGGATTACAGGCTTGAGCCACCGCGCCTGGCTAAAATTCTTAATTAGATGCACCTTGCAGCTGCCGTTAGTCTTAATTGGCAATAATGCAGCTACATTTTGTTTGGCACATATCTTCAGAAGAGTTAGAGAGAGAACTGAAGGGAGGCAAGAGGAAAATGTTCCCACACAGTTCAAGATAGTTCGCACAATGAGGATCCCATGGCAACAAACAGCGAGGCCCACAGTTGGCTCTGTAGGATCCAGGAATAGATAATACTTCACCTCAGTCTCAAACAAACACTTCCTTTCCTGGATCTGAACTGAAAGCACTTTAAATCATCCCTTGAAATAAAATTGAAGTGGTCAAATGTTCACCTGTGTCAAGATGCTTTTCAAAGCTTCTAGATGCTCTCTGCAGCCCATGTCAAGGTAATAATTATAACTCCTTCTCTGGGTAGAGTAACAACCCGACTTGCAGAACATTTAAAAGAGAGGACGTTATTTTTGTACCATATGGAGCTGGACATCAGTTGGCAACTGGTTAATTTCAACCTGTCATTTTATAAACAAGGAAACTAAGGCCAAGAGAAACTAAAGTGAATTCCCATGGGTAATATTGGCTACTTAGGAGTAGAATTTAGGCTCATATCCAGGATTTGAGCCTACAGTCAGGATGTTCACTTTTAAATTTTGCTTGAATCAATTACACTTGTTAATTGTCCCCCCCCCCGTCTGCTTGAGGTCTAGTTATTCACATTTAAATGGGTCAACTAAAGGACTGTGATGGAAAGTATAGAAAATATAGATCACTCACAATGAGAGTAGGGGAATATATTTGCTCTTTACCTTTAATCTTAAGTTTACTCTGAATTATAGCATGTGGGGAAGGAGCAGGGGCAAGAAAAACACTGGCACAGAAGATGTGAACATGGGTGAGTTAGCTTCAAAGAAACCTTGTGAGACTTGCCTGCCAACTTTAACCACATTTTCCCTTTGCTTAGGTTGGAAATTTCAGTGTACTGCTCCTTCTTTCGAAATACAGATTTACCTCCCTGTCTAGTCTCCCTGCCTGCTTTCATTCTCACCTGCGCCTAGTTTAGTTTGCATTCGTTTAGCTGACATTTTACCTAATTTTCGAAGTGTTTTCTTTATCTTAACATGTGTTTTACTCCCCAAATTAAAACGGTTCTGAAGGGCCAAGGCTACTTTACCTATTTATTGTTCTATTTTTGGTTTATCCTGTTAAGCCTACCATTACAAAAGCTTGTGGAATACGTTACAAAATGGGTTACGATTTTCAAGTACTCGGGCTCCAGGTGTTGAATGGGAAAGGTTGCAGGGTGGGGAGAGGGAAAGGAGTAACTAGAAAAGCGGCTCTCTGCCTTTTAATCATCCAGCCTACTCAGCTGCCAGAAACTAACACTGTGGCTGCAGTGTAAACATTAACATTTTTTTTAGGGGTCTTGTTACTCCAAGTGTCGTCCCCAGCCCAGCAACGTTATTATGGGCCACGGGCCAGCTTATTAGTAACGCAGGGTCTCGGGCCTCACTCCAGATGTACCAAATCAGAATCCGCATTTTAACAAACACCCAGGTGATGGTGTGTACATCAAAGTTTGAGAAGCACGGAATCACAAGTGAATGTGATTACTATCCCAATGTAAATGGTTAAGGACCTTAAATTGAGCAAATAACCTAAAGTATTTACCAGTACCTACTTTGATCCTCTTTCTTCGTCACAAATCCATCTCAGAAACCCGCAGCGAACTCTTTTGTAGGGAACTCAATTATGCGGTGGTCGGGAGGAGGATCCTCTTCAATACCCTCCTCTCCGCTCCTTTTCCTATCCACCCACCCACGCCCGTCGCCCCCGCACTCCCAGAGAGCCTTCCACAAGCACCGTTCTCCCAAGCCCCACTCCGGGAAGATTCTGCTCCTCCCTCAAACTAAAAGCGCGGCTGTGAGGAGGGTAACTGCTTGAAGGACTCACAGTTTACATATCAATACAGACAAGCACTTTTGCCAAACTGCCCTTTAGAAACAATTATCATCTTAGCACCTGAGGTTGGAGCAGCCCCCGCATCCTTCCCTCTTGTAATCCATCTTAAACTGTTACGGAGAATTGGGGAGGGCGGGGGGTTGGGAAGACAGAGATGGGGTTGGGAGGGTCGCGCTCAATAATAAATCTGCTTCAAAGAGAAGAGATGAAAACGAGGTTATCAAGAGTGTGTCAGCTTAGGCATCACTCTCTGTATCTTTCTGTTTCCTAGAGAAATGGATCCATAATTCTAAGGTGGCTAAGGCAAGACTGTTTAAGCATCCAAATTTGCCAGTCCACTTTTGCCTGGAAGGACAGATTTCCGTTATTTGAGGCCTCCCAGGGTCCCTTCCAAAAGATTCCCAGACTACCCTCCTTCCACTTCGGTCTTCTGAGAACTAAAACTCGCAGAGCGGTGACTGTCTGTGGATTGGCTAGTACTAAAATATCCATTGGGTGGCAGTAATACTATCCTCTTTATGACTTGCAGCAAACCAGAGAATGCATTCAATCAAATGAACCGATCTTGTAGAAACACTGGAATCATTTATGCATTGCAGTTTCTCTTTCTTGTTTTCGCTCCTTCTTCCTTGGGATATTTTGAGTGGATTGTGGCTATTAATCAAGATCTCGTGCTATTCGTGTTTTGCTTGTCGTTTTCGCTCAGGATTAGCATCATTCAAGGCAAGCGCAAATCTGCTTTTCCCACCCCCTCGACTCTTTTTTGAAAAATCATTTTTGGGGGCTGATGAAGAGAGCTAGGACCCAGGAGACACCTTCCCAAACAGCAGGGGTTGTGTGCTTTCACATAGCAGTACTGTACAAGGAAAACCCCGTCGGATCTGTTATTGCGGGATACTTGTGAAATATACATAGGATTCTTTCTTATGGCTGCATCCTGGATCTGGAAATTTTACTTGGGGACCAGGAGGATTTGAAAGGCTACATGTATTCAGAAGATTTGCAAGCAAGACTCCAATTCTTGTCTTAGAGCTCACAGACTTCTCACTTACCGGCCTTTTTCCTTCCTTATTTTTTAAAAATTATTTTTATTTTCCCCTCTCTTTTTCTGCTCTCTCCTCTCTCAGTCTCTCCTTTTCTATCTGCCTCTTCTTTTTTTCTCCTAGTCTGTTTTTTTTTCCTGCTCTGCACCTGGATTGTATCTTCAGCAAACAATCGGGCACTTTGAGAACTAACTGGAGACAGTGTTGTAGGGAAGATCTGTATGGAATTATCTGCTTTTATGGTGAACTTGGCATTTGTGAATGGGTATCTTGTTCACAATATTAATTGCTAGCAAAAACAAGAAAAAGAACACAGGAGTAAAACGTGGATTTTTCTGAATACGCATTGTGATGACCAGCAATTACCTTACCGACTGATATCCAGAGGAGAATAATTTGGAAGACCGTTGTGGGTAAGGTCATTTTATATATGCAAACCCGTCACTGGCATGAGCAAACTTGGGCATTTGTAATGGGAATGGGGTGACTTGAATGATTGCTGCATCGCATTGATGGCTGTGATGTGGCCGTTATTGGCACTGAATGGAATAACTGCAGTTGGGTGTGTTGTGTGTGTGTGTGTGTGTGTGTGCGTGTGCGTGTGTATTATGTATGTGTGCCCGTATTCTGAGTGTAATTGAAAATAAATCAAAGTATCACTCTCTCCCTTAATTATTTTGATATGAAAGAGTGTCTTGAATTAATTCTGGGTAGACACTCTTTGTTTGGATGTAATATTTGTGGCCCCTGTGTTCTGGAAGGGGTAGCAGCAGTAAAAGAAACACTTAGTGAATAGCCCCATTTAAAATGAAACGAGCTACTCTTTATGCATTAAAAGAAATATGTTTTCAACTCAGTGCAGCATTCTGCTGCATTTCACAGCCGCAATGGGACCAGGGACATCCCACTTGTCAAGTTCTTAAACTTTAAGGTGATAATCATCGTTAATTGTTCTCTAGGTTGTGGTTACTGGAGATTATTAAGTGCCCTGGGCTACTTTTTTATCTACTGGATTATCACTCAGAGTGAAAAAAGGAAAAGACAAGAAAAGCTAAAAATGATGGCAAACATAGAGATGAATAAGGCAATATTAGATTAAATATCACCACAGTGCTTTCTCAAGTTCAATTGCCCAATAATATAATTATTTACCCAATACCCTAAATAGCTGAAGCTGAGATCCACGTGCAGGGGAGTCGAAGGTCTGAAAGCAGAGACCATCCTTTTATTGCAATGCAGCCAGCTTGGGAAATGCAGGCAATTAATTACATACTTCCCTTAACCTTAAGTTGAAGATGTGTCCTATCTGCTACATCTGTTTTACCCTTTCAGTAAAAAGTTAGAGACTAGAACACTAAGGATATTTAAGAATATTCTGCCTGGGAAATGGGATTAAAAAATCAGTATTGATGACGTGGTTCAGTGCACTGTACTGCAATGCTAAAGTCCCATATTCAGTGCCTGTGATGAGAGAATGGAGCATTTACATGTGTTATGAATCTCACCTGGTAGACTGATCTGAAGGGGAGGGGAGAAGATATGTGGATATGTAGGAAGATGGATGGAAGTCGTGCATAATCGGTGATTATGTAACTTCATTACATCAGCGAGCTTCAGTCAACGATAGTGAGATGAGATGATTGTATAGAGAGAGGCTCCATCACCCTGTTAACTTTTGAAGGCTTGTAACAGCTAACAGAGGAGGAGAGCAGAGAGAGATTAGCTCCAAGGGTCCTGTAAACCTTGATATCTATGGCAAATTTAACATGAGTTTTCTCATAGTGAGTTTCGGAGGGACATCAGATCATGTAAGCTTTAGGGCTGGACAGGACCAATTTTAGCCACACCCGTGGAGAGTCAAAATGAGTCCGCAATGTTTCAGAAGTTCCCCATTGAGTAAATGGGACTGATGATTCCAGCCAAGGTCATAGTTCTTTATCCTAGGATTGAAATATATGACCCCAACTGAATGGAAAGTTAAATTCATTGAAATGAAGACTGTGAACGGAATGACTATTTAGGGTCCTTTCTTGCATTTTTCCTGGTAGAGCTTGATGCAGATTTCAGCCTGTTGGTTCCCTCATAAAAATGATGATTGCTACCACAGTGTGTCAGAAATGAGTGTTTTGTACCTTTATCTTAACCATGAGAATCTCTTTCTGGGCCATTTTAACCTTCTGGGAAAAGAGAAGTAAAAACATTCAAAGGTACCGGTATCCTGTTAAATTACAAATTAAATGGCACTGGATTCATTATTAGCAGAAATCCCAGAAATAAAGAGCAATCCATTTTCAAGTTTCACTTATTGAATGGCTTAAAAGACAGGTTGCAGCCACCAGAGACTTTTACCATGAGATGAGATAAATGTACTATGCTCACTGTACAGAGGAGGGAATACTGCAGAATAAAATGTCTTTTTCCCTCTTGTTTTATCTGGAGTTGTGATTTTTTTTAAAGAAGATACACATCAGGTCCTTTGGCCTTCTGCTGTTTTAGGATGTGTTTTCTCTTCAGTAGATCACATATTCACAATAAATGAAACTTCTGAAATCCTAACCCTGTTCAATCGAATCATCTTATTATCTAGTTGTGCTATTTCCTATTTCCCTTTACATTTATTTTACAAAGAAGGCTAAATGACTTTTCTATCAGGAAAATTTTTTTTTCTGTTTTTCTTTTATTTCTCATATTCTGTTTCCATCCAGTCCTATGGAGTAAGATGCAGAATCTAGACACCCTCTAAGTAACTTTGAAAAGATTTGCTTACCCTGAGTCAGAACAGTGGGATTGTGGAATGAAATTCTAAGGTCTGATATTTGAGGTGACTTTCATACTTATGCAGGACATGCACAAACATTGATATATTGTGCCAGTGAATTTGGAGGTTTGGTGTTCATATTGTGCAGGAAATGGAATGTGAAGTTAACTCCAGATTCCTTCCTTCAGGGGTCAGGGTAACACAACGGCTGCTTCCAGCCTGTTGGTTTCCAACTATGTGCACAAATACAGTCTGTAATGATTTTTCCTGTACTCCTTCTTTCAATATTTAATAAATGACTTCCTCAGTTGTTTTCTGACGTAAGCCACACATATGTTACCAAGCAGGGCATATTCTGGAGGTTTTCTAAGCTCAGTAGGAGATGGAAATAATAGCAGTATGGAAAAGGATTCTGTATAAAAAGACACTGGTTGTGAAGCAAATATACATATGTAATTGCTAACTCCTTTACTTGAAGACTGCATATACTTCTATTAGGAAAGATAGTTTCAATCATGTTAATGGCACTTTATAAAATGTTACTTTCTTTAGAAAGAAGATTATGTAACTAAGGCAGGTTATAGCATTTTTCTTAAGTATCCTATAAATCAATAATAAAAAGCTTTGCCTAATATGAAAGAATTTAAACATGATGGCAGTGGATAATGTAAAACATAACATCTGTTTTCAATTTTATTTCCATTTTTTCAGCCACAGTCATGTAATTAGGTTAGAAAATATTTAGGAAAAAAAGAAATACCATTTATGAATATGAAAGCTATCAGTTTTGTTTCCTGACCAGTTGCTTCAGCAAAGTAAGGAGATTTAGGAGAGAAGTAATCACAGTATTCCTAAAACTAGAGAAAATTCTAAATTGAATTTTCATTATGTTTGCACCATATGTGAACCAATCAGTATTACTTTAAAAATGACTACGAGATAAAGCATTTTAAAGAACAGTTGAACTTCGAAGATTTATATTTCAGAATTTGTTAGTTTGTGATACACTGAACTGTTTGGGATATACTTTGTCTTACAACAGATAGGATATTTGGTGTTTGGCAAATCTTGTGTTTTTATAAAGCTGACTAATTTGTGGCAACAAGACAAGTGTTGATTATTAAGATTTAAAAGTAGCAAGTTTTCTGGTGATGCTCAAATTTTAAAGCATAATTATTATTGTACCGTTTGGGCAGCTGTAGGTAAGGTCACGTCAGCATTTTTATTATTAAATTTCAACCCTATTTCCATTAGGTGTATCTGGAATCTCAAAGGGGAGAGTCCAGTTTTCTGACACATCAAGGCATTGTAGAATTTTGGGCTGAGTCAGAGGGCTTGAATTGTACTTCTGGCTCTGTCAATTACTAGCCTTGTGACCTCTGACACCACATTTGATTTCTCAGTGTTCCAGAGAATCATTTTTTAACAAATAAATAGTGGCACATTGCTCTACAGAAAGGAGATAATATGTGTCTAAGTACTTATCACCATTCTGTGCTTTATAAATATATAGAATTATTAAGGATTTCCCTAAGTCTTATTAATTTAGCTGTGCATGTTTTTATGCCCTTATTGTAAATCTGAATAGGTGCTTTCTAGTAGCAATTACAGTTAGCTGTACATAATATTGTTCAGTGATTAGCCAACATAGACAAATTGAAAGCTTTGGTGGTTAACTTTCACTCAGTACTCAGTTTTTTCCAGAAGTACTCATATGGGAATATAGTTGTCTTAAGTAATTAAAAAAAATAGTTTCTTTTGAATAACATTCAAACAGTGGTAACTGAGGGTTTTATGAGTTAGAGTGTTTTATGCAGATTGCTTTTTAAAAAAGGCTTCTGAGTACTTAGGAGTTTCTGTTTCTGCTACCAAGAATACACAAACAAATGTACACAAGCTTGATGCCATCTCTCAAACTGAGCACATTGACCAGAAAGTGACTCTTGTCTCTCAGCTTCTTAACAAAAGCATAATGAGTTTGAATACCAAGTGTAATAGGGAAAATGAGAATATAAAGATATCCAGTCTGTTTGGAATTTTCTAGTTGTAATAATTACTTACTTTCTTTAGGGGGAGGCAATCCCCTATGTGTCACTACTAAAACTGCATCTCTTTCATGTTCTTGTATCTTAACATAATGATATTTACATATATGCAAAGAGGATAGTTTAGTGATATGAGCTCTCATGTATGTTTTTCAATGACTGAATAATCAGATTACAGAATAAGTTTTTATATTTTGGTTAAAGCAGAATTGGAAAGTGCAAAATTAACCCTGTAATAAATTAGTAGTCTTGGGCTTAAAACAAAGAATTTTCATGTTGAAGAGCAACCTCCTCTTCCTAACTTCCCAGTGTCTTGCTTTTCTTTTCAAGGATTCCCAATATTTTTGTTGTTGTTGTTTCAAATGAATTTCATTATGCATGTTTATCTGACTTCATTGATGCCTATTAATAGCAAGCATTCTCTTGGTTTCCTATATTTAAAAAATGCATATTCTTTATGTCTTATGACAATACTTTAGATTTGCTCTGGCAGATGTATGAAGGAATACTGTATGAATGTAGATAGGCTTGTTTATTTGACAAATTCAGCTAATCACCTTACAAATATGCTTTTAATTTTCACCCAGAACAATGCCACCCTGAAGTGTCT